GGGGTGGGGGGGGGGGGGGGCGCGCGGTAAGTGGACCTTACATGACCACAGGGCTCTGCTGTTCAACGCACACACAGGAGCAAGTAGAAAACGAAGGGTTAGCAATAGATTCCTATCGCTGCATGTGTCTCCTTTAAAAGATTCCCCTCACTTCCTGCCCTGGTGACCCCCCCCGTGTGTCAGAATGCAACATGGAAGCTCCGTGACCATTAAAGCTTATAAATCACAAGTGTCTGAAGACACAACCAGTTGGTCTGCGCCTTCTCCCAATCACGGATGGATCTGTTTGGTTGTTATATGAGCACCTTCTCCCAACCACGGATGGATCTGATTGGTTGCCATATGAGATAAACTAGTATAGTAACCATCTAGCCGTTTCCTCTATCTCTCCATTGTGTCTCCATACTCCATGCCACCCATTATGAGGGCCTCCCACCATCCCTGCTGCACTTTCTACCCATTTTAGATTAGGGGGGATTTAATAGAAGGAGCCGGGACGTACAAAAGGTGGGCGGCACCCAAAACTCCCAGGTGTGCAGGAACAGAGTCAGGAATTGCGCTTGGGGGATCTCACTGTTGCTGCATCTAAGACAAATAAGAAGGAAGTTGCTGATTCAGCCCGTTCACCTACAACTAAAATAACACTTTTGGGTGGACTGACCCTTTAACTATTCTAGGGCTGGATTGTAGCCAATGGAAGGCCGCCGTGAACCATAACTTTATGCCTACTATAATAAGGACTAATGATAAGAAAGATGGGGACGGCCTGCCAACAGAAGCCACACTCTATATATACAGTACATCTCTCTGTGATAAAAAAGGGATAAATAAATATAGATTTAGTAGATCCTCACACTATCTGTGCTGCGGGTTGAATATTCTCTGTAGAGAAGACATATTCCTCTGCTCGGCGGAATACACTTCATGTCGTTGGGTCTTCCCTTCGGTGACGGGACCCAACCTGACCCTAGAACTAGTATAAAACACCCAAAAAATAAGCCGTTTGACTTCTTTCTTTTTTTTTTCCCCGCAAAAATCTTCTTCGTTGGACCCTTGTTCCTGCAAACAGGAAGTGATGTCAGAGACCCCAAAAAACAAAAACAAAACAGGAAGTGTCCAGGTTGGCATACTGATAGAAAACGTTGCAGTCACAGACTGATGGTGCAGGAGGTTTTGCGAGGGATGCGGGCCCTTCTGTCTGTTACTTGGGGTCCTCTACCGTTCCTTTGCTGAGGTCGGCCATCTTGGGGTATTTGACTTTCTTTTGATCTAGCTCGTTCTGAGCCCAGAGGAGGAGTTTGAGCAGTTTGGCCAACTTGGGCGTGGACTCGCGGTTCTCGTAGTCTAGCACGGCCTGGTTGACTTCGCTCCACACCTGGAAGGATGCAAATCGGTAAAATGTGACGCTGAATGTGTTTACAGGCAATATGCTTTCAGAGAGTTACATTTCCCAGCCAATCAGGAAGCCGGGAGGCGGGTCATTAGTCGCCGCATGGCTTCCTGATTAGCCAGAGAGCCGGCTTCCCAGCCAATCAGCATGAAGCCAGCTTCCTGATTGCCTGGGAAGCTGGCTCCATGTTCCACTACAGCACTGCCGGTCAGAGGAAATCTTCCTCTGACCAGAAGTCCCGGTATCAGGGAAGGTATCAGAGCATTAGGCGAGTACTCGCCCAACTACTCAGTATCAGCAGCGATACTGGTATCGGTATTGGTGCATCCCTACAATTTAGTTGAGGGACATCCATAGCCTTTTTGCCGCGGCAAGGAGGAGGGCTGTTTCAGGATGGTGCACAATCAAAGGGAGGGAGGGGGATGCTAGTGGAGGGTGACGCCATTAAGAGCTGGATGGGGAGATGTGTAAAGGCTCTGCATCTTCCTGCCAAGCTCTCCGCAACCTGTGATGTTCTAGCCGGTGTGCCACCGGGCTCCTGGCATTCAGTAACATCACTGGTTGGCAGGAGCTTGGCAGGACTCCGCCAAGCGCATCACAGGCTGCTAAGACCTGGGTGAAGAGATGTGTATGGCCCTTATACATCTGCTGACCAAGCTCCTAGCAACCTGGGACGCTCATGCCAAAAAGGGGGCAGCAAGGACACTGCAAACATTGTGCAGCAGAGTGGCCAAGTTGCTCCGCCTGCCGCCCCCTTCCGCACATAAGGTAGCCTCGGGCTACCTTATCATAGGGAAGGCCCAGCGTGCAATAAACAAACAGTGAAGCAATAACCTGATCTGGAGGGTGGCAGCTGGCCCTTTAAGAGATGGTAACCCTGGAGGTGTTACATGGGCTTCCTGATCATGTGTTTACTGTCACAGCCTGTCCTACCCATTCCTGATCATTGCTAGGTGACAGGAAGCTGTCGGTGACATTGTGGTCACAGTGCTGCAACTGAGCGCGCTCCCAGCTCAACACAGCAATGCCAGTGGTATACAGTATATGCTATGAGGGACTGACACACCTGGCGACAGGCTTTAATATCCATAAAGACCAGACACCACCTTGGCAAGGCTTGGCCCTACTCCATTATTAGAGGGAAAGACAATACCGAGACTACACAGAGAGGTGCAATGAGCACGCCCACGGTGTTTTTTGTTGCACGCTAAGCTTTGTCATCAGCTCACAATGACCTCGACAAGGCAATGACTGCTGGAAATGTCACACAGATGTTTGCATTGTCTCCGGTGCTGAACCAAGTTACAGGTGTATCGCTAAAAGGCGGCTGGAGAACATATGCAGTGTCCCGGTTTATTTTTTCCAATTGAGAAGGATTTAGGTTATTTTGGAATAATGAGAAACATTAGAGATGCACTGATTCCGATACTAGTATCAGTGCCGATACCGAGTATTTGGGCGAATACTCGTACCCGCCCAAATGCTTCCGATGCTGGAACTTCTGGTATCAGGAAGCCGGGCAGCGAGTCATTACACGCTGCCCGGCTTCCTGATTGGCCGGGAAGCCGTCTCTATGCTCCCTCGTCACCAGGAAGCATGGAGCCGGATTCCCAGGCCAATCAGGAAGCCTGGCGCCGTGTAATGACTCGCCGCCCGGCTTCCTGATTGGTCAGAAAGCTGGCTCCATGCTTCCTCCTCACCTGGTGACGAGTGCGCATAGAGACGGCGTCCCGGCTAATTTGGGAAGCTGGGCGGCGAGTCATTACACACCGCCCGGCTTCCTTAATGGGACTTCCGGTTTCGTCAAGTCCCAAAAAAAGAACATCGGTACTCGATACCAAAAAACTGGTATGGGTGCATTCCTAGCAAACATATTCATTACATCTCTGCAGTGCATGCACATTTCCCCATATGCTATCCCTTTAAAAAGATGCAAGTACAAAAAAAAAAAGCCTGCCGATCTTCCAGAAATCTAGAGCGCTCCTAACTTCCTAAAGGGAGCTTCCCTCCACCAGACATTGACTGATGCCTCTCCTCCGGACAGAGGAATCCTGGACAACTGACCAGTCTGGAGAAGGACTTCCTATAAAAGTGTATTTGGTGATGCAATTCATGTTCCTGGTGGTCTAAGGCTGGCAGTGACAATGACATTACATGCACTGCTGAAGCCTTAAGGTGCCTATACACTGCTCGATTCTCGTACGAGAATCGGGCGAAATCCCGCGATCGTACGAGAATCGAGCAGTGTGAACGAAGACGTGCGACCGTTTCTACTGTACGGTCGCACGTCTTTTGTCGAACCAACATGCTCGAAAACCCGCCGAGAATCGTACGATTGTCGGCGGGTTTCTAGCCTGCTCGTCCGATAGCTGCGGAACGGGCCGGTGTGCGCACGCGCACACTGCCCGTTCTGCATTGCGGTCAGCGGAAGCCCGCCCCTCAGCAGGGTGGGCTTTCGATGATCGCAAGTCCGATCTGCCCGTCCAAGTTGGGCAGATGGTACGAGCTTTCAATAAGCATACGGCCATCGCAAGACAAAAGTCTTGCGATGGTCGTAAGGTGTATGGGCACCTTTAGACTGGGAGGACACTGACCGAGCAGCTTTACATATAGAGCCAGTGTTTACTTTGATTCTCATTTCCTGTGCTGCCCCCTGCTGGCTGAAGAGCAGTGTATAGGTAGATGGCATATAACAAGGTCAACCTGCCATTGACTTCTACTTGCTCAGCTGTCATGCTGGCCCCTGATTGGAGTCTCGCACCTTTTCCTTTTAAGGCCTGGTTCCCACCTAGGCGTATTGCATATGCGCGGTTGTTGCACGTTTTTTTTACCGCGATTCGCAGTAAAAAAATTGTGCGACAAACGCGCGTTTCCAAGGGCTAATTGGCTGTGTCCCAATGGAAACGCGCAACAAAAAAGGCCCAAAGTAGTACATGTACCTTTTCAGGCGTGGGCCGTTTTGTAGCGCGTTAAGGACAGGCTGAAATACGCCAAGGTGGGAACCAGACCCATTGAATACAATGGGATTTAGATGTTTGAGCGTTTTGTAGAGCGTTCGTCGAGCGTAGAACGCGCTACAAAACGTTCAGGTGTGAACGAGGCCTTAAGGTTGAATTCACAAGGTTCCGTGCAAATGCAGCGGGTGTGGGATTTAATTGTAAATGGGCCCTTATAAACCTGCATTTAATGTGCATGAAGCGCCTGCACACGATGCCACCTGCTGAGGCTCATCTGGGCACACCACTGAAAAGCCACTTTCAGAGGTGCCTATAGAGCAGGGGTGGGACAACTCAAGGTGTGCTTTGACTGCAAATCCCATAATGCCGCTGCCTCTGGGAGTTATGCCTGTAATTGTCAGACTTGCAATGCCTCATGGGACTTGTAGTTCCACAACAGCTGGAGGACCAGAGTTGCATAGCCCTGCTATAGAGCTTTTACCAGTCCCTGCTCCACTGGATAAACCAGCGGCTGCTGGTATTTAGGAAGCTGGACTCCATCTAATGTCTATGGGCAGCCTTTCTCCCTCTTTCCCAATGATCTATAACAGGTAGGGCTTAGAAAACCTACCCTGTGTAGTCACATGGCTCCAGGGCCATCAGACTACCCCATGCTATGTATACCTATGGCTAAGCTAACCAAAAAACGCCAATCAGATCCCAAAGGAACTCTTTACTGTAATGTGTACTGACAATGCAGAGCCACTGCCAGCGGGACGTACCTTCTGTCTTTGCATCATGTTAAGTAGGTCACCAAATGGAGAGTCCTCGGGGTTATCAAATGCCAGCAGTGCCAGTGTCCTCTCCATCTCCGTCAGACATTCCCGGCTCTCCTCCCCCTGCTCGGCCAGCTGGGTCTGGGCAAACTCCAAGGCCGCTTCCGTCTCCCGCTGCCTGATCAGCTCTATGAGATGTTGTTGCTTAACAAACAAGAAGAAAGACAATTGACCTCTGCACAGAATTCCGCCCCATTACCCAGAATGCTCTGCTCTGAGGGCACACAACATGAGTCCTCCCAAGCCAAGTTGTAGTTCTGCGACAGAATACACAGTCGTACAATACATTAGACTGTAACAAACCCCCTATCAGCAAGGCTGGGGAGGAGCAGAGGGTCCCCCATCAGGTCATGTGCCATGGAAGAGGGGAGGGAGCATCTCTTTCTTCAGCTCAGCCCTGTAGATAACACTGGAAGATAGTGGTCCTCCCAGTGTAATCACTGGAACTCAGCAGGCAGTGTGACAGCCACCCTCTCACCTTTGTAGCTGCAGGCACTGTGGAGTAATTCATCCACAAATTTCACAGCAGAGGTACTGAAGTTATCTCTCAGTTGCTCCCCTTCTCAAAACACCTGGCCTGTGAGTTCTTAGAGCTTTGAAGCCTGGTGGGTAGAGTCACTGCTAGGAGAGAGGAGGAACTGAGCTGCGGTGTCACTGCTAGGAGAGAGGAGGAACTGAGCTGCGGTGTCACTGCTAGGAGAGAGGAGGAACTGAGCTGCTGTGTCACTGCTAGGAGAGAGGAGGAACTGAGCTGCCGTGTCACTGCTAGGAGGGGGGAGGAACTGAGCTGCTTTGTCACTGCTAGGAGAGAGGAGGAGCTGAGGTGTCTCTGCTAGGAGGGGGGAGGAACTGAGCTGCCGTGTCACTGCTAGGAGGGGGGAGGAACTGAGCTGCCGTGTCACTGCTAGGAGAGAGGAGGAAAGGATGCTGAAAGGCTGAGAGAATGACTTCTGCTGTAAACATTGAAGATGAATTGCTCCGCAGTGCCTACAGCTACAGAGGTTTGCATGCAGTCCCGAGTCTGACCTGTAGGTGGAAATAGAGGTAGCGGTGAGTGTCCAGGAGCTCCGGGTGCAGAGAGTTTATCAGAGCGATGGCTTCCTGAATCTGCCCTTTGAGGATCATCTCCCGAATCTTTATCCTTTCATCCAGGCTCTCCAAATCCACACTCGGCTCGATTCCAGACTCCAAACGAAACTTCTCGGCCGCTTCCTTAAATCCTTCTGGAGGGAGAGAAAGAATAAACAAAATCAAATGTACCCATCACCTATATACATAGTTGTAACTGTTCAGTGAACAGGCTGGAAAAACCAGTGTCACTGTACCAGAGCTCCAACTGGGAGAGGGAAGGTGCCAATCAGTTCATGTGCTAACAAAGAGCATGCGGATAGGAGCAGAGAGCAGAGTGACAGATAAATGAGCTCAACAGTCTGCTGCTGCTCCTCCACCTTTCACTGTCCAGTCACAGGCTGGGGGCGGGTTCAGCACCACCTAGGCTTTGAATATCGCTGCCCATCAGACTGAGGACATCTAGTGTCAGAACATAAGTACTGCAAGCGACAGCTGCATAATAAAAGGTAAACACTGCAGCACAGGCTGTTATTTCATCATTTCATGGTCTTCACTGCTCACCTGTCACCAGGTAGTTCATGATGAGTCGGTTCATATCCGCCCTCTGGATGTGCAAGTTATTTAATTTTTCCATCCATTCGTCCTTTGTGATCTCCTCGGGCTTCTCTGAGTAGCTCATTCTCGCTGTTCGCAGGAAATAAAAGGAAATACGTCAGAGCTCGGGGTTCAGGTGAGAGTGCGATACTGCTGCAGAGTCACTACGCCAGGGGGAGGCAACCTCGGCTCCCCGGCGGTGGTGAAACTACAATTTTCTAAAGTAGTCCCCCCAGGAGGTATAATATATGCTGCTCAGAACTCAGGCTGCAATACTCACCGCCCCTAGAACCCCAATACACAGTACACAGGGAGTTCTAGGACCCCAATAGACAGTACACAGGGAGCTCTATAGACAGTACACAGGGAGTTCTAGGACCCCTATAGACAGTACACAGGGACCCCAATAGACAGTACACAGGGACCCCAATAGACAGTACACAGGGAGTTCTAGGACCCCAATAGACAGTACATAGGGAGTTCTAGGACCCCAATAGACAGTACACAGGGAGCTATATAGACAGTACACAGGGAGTTCTAGGACCCCAGTAGACAGTGCACGGGGAGCTCGAGGACCCCAATAGACAGTGAACGGGGAGCTCTATAGACAGTACACAGGGAGTTCTAGTACCCCAATACACAGTACACAGGGAGCTTTATAGACAGTACACCGGGAGTTCTAGGACTCCAATAGACAGTACACAGGGAGTTATAGGACCCCAATAGACAGTACACAGGGAGTTCTAGGACCCCAATAGACAGTACACAGGGAGCTCTATAGACAGTACACAGGGAGTTCTAGGACCCCTATAAACAGTACACTGGGAGCTCTATAGACAGTACACAGGGAGTTCTAGGACCCCAATAGACAGTACACAGGGAGCTCTATAGACAGTACACAGGGAGTTCTAGGACCCCTATAGACAGTACGCAGAGAGCTCTATAGACAGTACACAGGGAGCTCTAGGACCCCAATAGACAGTGCACGGGGAGCTCTAGGACCCCAATAGACAGTGCACGGGGAGCTCCATAGACGGTGCACGGGGAGCTCTAGGACCCCTATGGACGGTACAACTGGAGCAGACCGAATCCAGAGCACCTGTACATGACAACCAATCAGATTCTATATTTCATTTTCAAACCTTAACTGAACAAACTGAAGAGAGAAGCTGAATGGCAGCCATGACCTGGATTCTGTCTACTTTAGTTGTGATAAATTCCCCCCAGAGACCTCTAGGACACATATAGACAGTACACAGGGAGCTCTGGAAGCCTATAGACAGTACACGGGGATCTCTGGGAGCCTATAGACAGGACACAGGGAGCTCTGGAAGCCTATAGACAGTACACGGGGATCTCTGGGAGCCTATAGACAGGACACAGGGAGCTCTGGAAGCCTATAGACAGTACACGGGGATCTCTGGGAGCCTATAGACAGGACACGGGGATCTCTGGGAGCCTATAGACAGGACACGGGGAGCTCTGGGAGCCTATAGACAGGACACGGGGAGCTCTGGGAGCCTATAGACAGGACACGGGGAGCTCTGGGAGCCTATAGACAGGACACGGGGAGCTCTGGGAGCCTATAGACAGGACACGGGGAGCTCTGGGAGCCTATAGACAGGACACGGGGAGCTCTGGGAGCCTATAGACAGGACACGGGGAGCTCTGGGAGCCTATAGACAGGACACGGGGAGCTCTGGGAGCCTATAGACAGGACACGGGGAGCTCTGGGAGCCTATAGACAGGACACAGGGAGCTCTGGGAGCCTATAGACAGGACACAGGGAGCTCTGGGAGCCTATAGACAGTACACAGGAACATCTGGGACTAGGGCTGCAATCAACTAATCGATTCATTGATATTGAGAATAGTTGTCAACTATTCTCATTGTGGATTGGTTGGTGGGATCCCCTCGCTCTCCCCGTCACGCTGGAAGGAGGGCACAGCAAGCAGTGGGCAGGAGCGATAGACAGCCTGCTATTGGCTATGGCAATTTGAAATGGCCAATAGCAGGCTGGCTATTGCACCCGCCCACTCCCTGCTGTATTTACATTCAGCTGCCGTCTGTGGAACCTTGCCAGGGGCAGCCGTCATTCCCGGGCTGAAGACATGCACGATATTCGAATAATTAGAATATCGTGCAAAAGTTCATTTATTTCACTAATGCAACTTAAAAGGTGAAACTAATATATGAGATAGACTCATTACATGCAAAGCAAGATAGTTCAAGCCGTGATTTGTCATCATTGTGATGATTATGGCTTACAGCTCATGAAAACCCCAAATCCACAATCTCAGAAAATGAGAATATTGTGAAAAGGTGCAATATTCTCGGCTCAAAGTGTCCCACTCTAATCAGCTAATGAAGCCATAACACCTGCAAAGGGTTCCTGAGCCTTTAAATCAGGGGTCTCAAACCTCAGGCCCTCCAGCTGTGGTGAAACTACAAATCCCATGATGCATCTCTCTTCGGGAGTCGTGGCTGTGAGAATCTTGCAATGCCTCATGAGATGTGTAGTTCCACCACAGCTGGAGGGCCGGAGGTTTGAGACCCCTGCTTTAAATGGTCTCTCGGTCTGGTTCAGTAGGAATCAGAATCATGGGAAAGACTGCTGACCTGACAACCATCATTGACACTATCCATAAGGAGGGAAAGCCTCAAAAGGTCATTGCAAAAGAATTTGGATGTCCCCAAAGTGCCTTTGCATTAGTGAAATAAATGAACTTTTGCACTATATTCTAATTATTCCAGTTTCACCTGTATGCAGCGTCATGTGACCACACTACAATTAACAAAACATTATAAAAGCGGGGAAAAAAAAGTCATTTTGTGCTGCGGGGGAGGCGCGTTACGGAGCCATTCATTTCAATGACACCTCAATCGCATTGCAGTGCGATTGCAAACAGTTGTGCGTGCCGATTTATTCTGAAGAGGACTTTATGTTTGTAACACTCCATGCGTCTATTTTATTTTACATGAAGGACGAGAATTATTTCATGTTTGTTATCCGATTAATCGAAAATATAATCGGCCAACTAAACGATTACAAAATATCCATTACATGTAGCCCTATCCGGGACCCCTACAGGCGGGACACAGGGACCCCTACAGGCGGGACACAGGGACCCCTACAGGCGGGACGCAGGGACCCCTACAGGCGGGACGCAGGGACCCCTACAGGCGGACAGGCGGGACCCCTACAGGCGGGACACAGGGACCCCTACAGGCGGGACACAGGGACCTCTAGATCCCTCATAGACAGTACACAGGGACCTCCAGGACCCCCATAGACGGTACACAGGAACCTCCAGGACCCCCGTAGACGGGGCACAGGGACCTCTATAGACAGGACACAGGGACCTCTAGGACCCCTATAGACGGTAGACAGGGACCTCTAGGACCCCCGTAGACGGTACACAGGGACCTCTAGGACCCCTATAGACAGGACACAGGGACCTCCAAGACCCCTATAGACAGGACACAGGGACCTCCAAGACCCCTATAGACAGGACACAGGGACCTCCAAGACCCCTATAGACAGGACACAGGGACCTCCAAGACCCCTATAGACAGGACACAGGGACCTCCAAGACCCCTATAGACAGGACACAGGGACCTCCAAGACCCCTATAGACAGGACACAGGGACCTCCAAGACCCCTATAGACAGGACACAGGGACCTCCAAGACCCCTATAGACAGGACACAGGGACCTCCAAGACCCCTATAGACAGGACACAGGGACCTCCAAGACCCCTATAGACAGGACACAGGGACCTCCAAGACCCCTATAGACAGGACACAGGGACCTCCAATACCCCTATAGACAGGACACAGGGACCTCCAATACCCCTATAGACAGGACACAGGGACCTCCAAGACCCCTATAGACAGGACACAGGGACCTCCAATACCCCTATAGACAGGACACAGGGACCTCCAATACCCCTATAGACAGGACACAGGGACCTCTAGGACCCCTATAGACAGGACACAGGAACCTCTAGGACCCTTATAGACAGGACACAGGGACCTCCAAGACCCCTATAGACAGGACACAGGGACCTCTATAGAGAGTACACAGGGACCTCTAGGACCCCTGTAGACAGTACACAGGGACCTCTAGGACCCCTGTAGACAGGACACAGGGACCTCTAGGACCCCTGTAGACAGGACACAGGGACCTCTAGGATCGCTATAGACAGTACACAGGGACGTCTAGGACAGCTATAGACAGTACACAGGGACCTCTATAGTCCCATTCCAGGTCCCAAGCAGTACACAGCTGGCGGACTCCCAGGCTGGGGGAGGTCGGGGTCTGGCAGGCCGGATGTAAACAAGGGCAAATATCAGTGATATCCGCCAGCTGCAACTGCCCGGGCGGTAACAGGGCGGACGAATGGACCGGGGAAGCAGGGCCCGGATCCCGGACACTTACCGAACTTCCGGCGCTGATGTCACTGTGGCACCGAGAACCCAGCGCTGGTCACGTGACAGGGTCTGCGAGCACCGAGCACGTGACCAGCGCGGAGGGGAGGACAGCGTGGCTCGGGCGCGCATGCGCAGCTCCGTGTTTTGTTTGTGCAGCTGCTACGCTGAGGGATGGCCGATGTCTGCGGATTTGTTCAGGTTTGTTACATTGTTTTGTTGTATCATACAATGCATCTGCTATAACCTTGTGTGACCCCCATTCATCTTTAACATGGCAATGTCGTTTTTTTTTTATCTTATGAAATCTACAGCTTTTATTAAATGAATACCTGGTAATCCTGCCATAGAGGTCCTTGTTCAGGCACTTCCTGTTGTAGGATGACAACCCTCCTATCCCTGTTTCCCAAATGTGCACTTGTGTTGTCACCCTGTCATATGGGCTTCCAATGGAGACTTCAAACTGTTATTTCCTGTTATCTAGGGTCACCTCCCCTGGACATCTGTAGTCACCAGAAGATGTTCTACATCTATATAGTATCAACATACTGTACCTCTATACTACCTCCTGTCTATGTTCCAGGTAAGTGTACTCGTATACCTCCTGCCTCTGTAGAACCACAAGTCCCAGCATGCTGTGCCCCCATATTTCCTGTCTGTAGAACCACAAGTCTCAGCATGCTGTACCCCCATATTTCCTGTCTGTAGAGTCACAAGTCTCAGCATGCTGTACCCCCATATTTCCTGTCTGTAGAGTCACAAGTCTCAGCATGCTGTACCCCCATATTTCCTGTCTGTAGAGTCACAAGTCTCAGCATGCTGTACCCCCATATTTCCTGTCTCTGAAGCACTACAAGATCCAGCAGTCTGAATTTGTATATCTCTTGCCATTGTAGCACAAGAGGTCCCAGCACACATTTGCATATGTCCTTCTTCTACAGAACCATACATTCAAGCACACTGCACCTCCATATGTCCCCTGAAGAACTACAAGTCCCAGCACACTGCACCTCCATACCTCCTTCCCCTGAAGAACTACAAGTCCCAGCACACCGCACCTCCATACCTCCTTCCCCTGAGAAACTACAAGTCCCAGCACACTGCACCTCCATACCTCCTTCCCCTGAAGAACTACAAGTCCCAGCACACTGCACCTCCATACCCGCACCTCCATACCTCCTTCCCCTGAAGAACTACAAGTCCCAGCACACTGCACCTCCATACCTCCTTCCCCTGAAGAACTACAAGTCCCAGCACACTGCACCTCCATACCTCCTTCCCCTGAAGAACTACAAGTCCCAGCACACTGCACCTCCATACCTCCTTCCCCTGAAGAACTACAAGTCCCAGCACACTGCACCTCCTTCCCGTGAAGAACTACAAGTCCCAGCACGCTGCACCCCATACCTCCTTCCCCTGAAGAACTACAAGTCCCAGCACACTGCACGGTGTTGGGTTTAGAAGCCCCTCTTGAGTTCTGCTGTCTGTCAGCCTGATGGGGATATTTCTCCTGACTTCCTGTCCTAGTTACACCAGACAAAGGAAATGCACCTAATGGGGACACTGACCCCCCTCTACTAATAATAGTACCTCAGGCTGTGTTCACACCCCGAGTGCCATATCCAGCCCACATTATTCCCACTTCCTGTCCCAGTGACACTGCCCGGAACACCGTAATAATAGCCTGACAGGACTTGTAGCCCTTCATGTTTTCACACCGGTGTGTTTTAGGGCCCGGTCTCCTGCGTTCTGCTCCTTGTATGCGTTGTGTAGAGCAGTGCGAGGTGTAAACATTTTCATTTGGGAGGACTCCCGACAAATATGTTTTTTAACCCCTTGACCCCAGTGCATTGCATATATGCGGCAACACAGTGAGCAGGCCTTAACGCCCAGCTGACACCCTAGAACTGCAACCGAGCTGTCGCCAATCGCTCGCGGGCAACTACCGAAAATCGCAAGGGCCCCTGACTACGTCATCGCTGTGCCGCTTAAGAGTCAGTTTAGTTGCATCGAATGGTCGATGGAATGATTATATGCAACCATCAGGAGAGCCCACTCACACCAGGGTGGTTGCGGACCAGCGCTGAAACGCCCAAAAACCGCGCTGATCAGAGCGGTTCCATTGAAAGCTGTATGGAAACCGCACTGATCTGCACAGCAAAAATAGTGCAGGGGGCGGTTCGGATCTCGCAGACCATCGCGGTCGCATGAGCGGTCCCCATAGCAATGTATGGGATCATTCGTGTCAGCAGATCCGCGCGGCCGAACCGCCCCGGTGTGAACAGGCTCTTAGAGGGGTTTCAGGAAGTGAGGGGAAATCTCCTCGATGGGGACACAGACAGTGGGGTTTCATTCACGTTTCTGTAATGCGATGTCGCAGGTGCATGCAGTAACGAAGTACAAGGCCACATTTTCGCTTTTAATGCGTTTTGTTGTTAGATGAATACGCACAACAGGGGGAAGGTTATCAAAACCGGAGCAGACAATTGGAGCAGTTGCCCATTTTCAAAGCTTAACTGAAGAGAGACGCTGATTGGTTGCCATGAGCAGTTTTTATTACTTCCCCCCCATTGTGCGTATGTTTTAAGGGGGGTGCTCTAGTTTCTTTTTATGCCTCCTCACATAAAGCTGGGGATTGTTAAAAAAACAAAAAACTATTTTGCTCACCCCAAGCTTTTTTTAAGTTTCTGTCATAAAAACCCACCAAAAATAAACGAAAGAAAACAAACTGAAGTGAAATGTCAGTCAAGCAATTTATTTTTGTTTTGTGTCCTATAAACACCCCCGGTGGTGTGTTATGTTTTCGCTTTTCCCTACACGGTACATATTTTGCTAGCGGGATGTGGTTCTTGGGTCGGGCCCGTGTTGTAGGTGAGCTGAGGAGAAGCCGTCCGACACGGTGCGAGGGAGGAGTAATGGCGGCCTTGTGTCACGCAGGACATTCGTACACGGGGCGCCATGATGGAGGGCAGAAAGGCGGCGGGTTGGTGTGGGACGACTCAAAGTGGACCCAAGGGGCTCATTGGTGTTAATTTTTGGGATGGGTATGTTATGGCTGCCTCCTATACGGAAGGGGTGCGTTAGAGGGCATGAAGGGCAGATGGGTGAACTAGGCCTCGGCTGTCCCCTAGGTGACCAGGATGTTTACAAGCTGCCCATAGACGGCGGTTTTTCCAATCATTTCCTGCTGTGATTCCTGGCTATGGCCAGAGTGGACATGGTTTAGGATATTCGGCAGCGATACTGCGGTTCCATAATCAATAGATAATCAATCTCCCATCAACACAAGTAGGGTGATACTCCCACTTTTTACCATTGTGTGGCCTGTTTCACACGGACACCTCCGTTCCATCTAACGGGATCCAGTAAATGATCCGAGTGGAAATAGATGTCACGTGTCCTGTCCTTTCCCATCACGATGTCCCTCCTGATCACATGACGTCCTTTCCGATCCCTGTATCGTCTACCGGTGAAGGAAAAATTAACCCCATGTAATCCCTATGAGCAGTGGGATGTAAACAGACGTATATCCTTTCAGGTCCGCTAACTGCGTTCGGTCCAACGAACCTTAGTGGACCTGGAAGTCAATGGATGGACCTCTGTTTACTTTAGGCCACCCATAAAAAGAAGTTAGTCTGTTTTTGATCTGTCGACCACGTGCCAAAAACACTGACAGAACGCCCATGTGAGTCGGGGCCTGAGGCTCTGTGTACATAAACGTTTAGAGAACGTCTTAAGCGCAAATGCATAAAATTATTTCTAAAGGGTAAATTGGAGAGGTGGAGAAATTAATTTAAAACCACCTCCCCAGGGCCACACAGTGATGCCCCCACCAGCTGCTGTAGTCGGGGCTGGATTAACATAGGGGGTACTGGTCCGTAAGCTCCAGGTCCCCCTCTGAAAATAGGCCCGGATCACCTCTATGCCTAATGGCAAACACAATCTGGCGGCGGCGGTTCTCTAATCAGGCATATTAGGGGGGCCCCTAATTAAAGAGCCACCTCTGCTGCTTTCCTTGCAACCCAACAACACCACCAGGCCCATGATGCTATTAATCTGGCCCAAGGTTTAGTGATCTATAATTGACAGCCTTGCAGTGTGGAATAATAATGCTCTCAAATTGCAAAAGCTCATTGGTCAGCACAGTCACATGACTGCGCTGATCAATAAGTCCTTTTTATTTCCGGAACCTGGTCCCGGCTCTGCAGTGTTTCTCATTGGTTAGCACACTATTACCGGCTGGTGTGGGCATCACATTGGGGAGGTGGGGCTGTTCATTCATTTTTGTGAAAAGGTGAACTTAGTCTTTAATCAGGGGTGGGCAACTCCACCCCTCCAGCTGTTGTGGAACTACAAGTCCTATTGTGAGACTGATAAAGAAGTGACTCGCAGAGCCATGATGGGATTTGTAGTTAAAGCACAGCTGGAGTTGCCCACCCGTGCCTTTAATACTATAATTCAAACCAGGCATTAGTTTTAGGTGCGTTCAGTTTAACATAGAATCCTGCGCGTCCAAGATCCATTTAGAAACCAAATGCAGCTAAGCCCACTTCCCAGGTACCTTAAATGTAGTTTCTCCTGCATTGAAAGGATACGTGTACTTTAAATCAACTGCACTTTTTAAGGTGACATCATCGCTCCATCCAGCTCCCCTCCTTCCCATGCACAGATAAATACTGTGTCCCGACAGACCCGGCCTATGTTGTTTGTTTACATCCTTTGGTGAATGTCTTCTCCGGCTGTGCATGAGCAGTACATCCCCATTGATGTCTGTAGAGCTTGTCTACCTCTTGTCTCTTGCCTGGGAGCTGATCCATTAGAAGTCATTGGGGATGTACTGCGCAGGTGTGGTCAGGAGAGGTAGACATCCATCGTATGATGTAAACTCAGTCAAACCCATCAGAACTCAGTAAGTATTCATCAGTGCACAAGAATGGAGCGGTGATGTCACCTTAAAGGGGCTTAAAGGATAAGTGTGCGCTGACCACTCATGCCGGGGTAGCCGAAGTTCGGCCCTCCAGCTGTGATGAAGTTAGAGGTCCAATGAGGCATTGCAAAACTGACATGACCACAAGCCATACATGTGAATACTGTAAGCTGT